GCCTTCCTGCCTTAGGACCTATGTGTTGATGTTTGCTTTGTTTGAATGTTCTTTTCACATGTCATCTCCTCAGATGATTAGCTAACCTTCCACTCCCTTTAGCAGGATTATTGGCAGACTCTGTCAAACTTTGCGTTTTATCATACACTTAAGATTATATTATGCTTGGATCTCAAATTCAGTTCCAAATAAAGTATTAAGATCATGTTATTATTCAGGTTTTTGTGCTTAAAAAAAAAAGAACCATGTTAAAGGAAATTATTTGGCAAAAGTTTTTGGCAATAAAGGTAAGAATTTTTAGAATTTAGAATGCACCCTGCCTAAGGCGTCTTGATATGACATGATTGTTGAAATGGTAAGGGCTGCATCTCTTTTATAATCCCTTTCCACCAAGTGTATTGCATGATAGGGAATGGGGAAAGCTGAAAACAAGGTATCAGGAGTCCACTCTGTTAGGTATGTAGAAATAATAAATGCAAAATATGTCACAGCATTAACAATCTGGTGAACACAAAACAGTAGTAAAATAGATGGTCATTTTCTGAATGATGAGAAAACCACTTGGCAAAGACTTAAAATCCAGTTCAAGGTTTTCTGTGAGTTCACTTAAGTTCAATGAACTTTTACTAAACTAACAGTAGAGAAGTGATACAGAGGTTGGGGGTGGTTTGGGAAGGGTGTAGGGAAAGTTGCTGATCAATTTTATGCTGAATAAGTTCTTTAAAAAAAAAAAAAGACAGGGTTTCACCATGACCTCAGGTGATCTGCCCGCCTCGGCCTCCCAAAGTGCTGAGATTACAGGCATGAGCCACCACGACTGGCCTATGCTGAATAAGTTCTTCCCAAACTAAAGAATAGCAATTCCTTTGTTCTTTCAAAATATTAAGATTCACTGTGAAATTTCAGGGCCAGAAAGAATAAATGGCCAGGCAGTCAGTGACCACTTTATATTAATCTAGTTGCCATCTTGAGGGCTTCATAAAACTCCACCCATAGGAGAAAGTGAACTTTGTAGAAACTTTTTTTTTTCTTTTGCAATTTTGCTTTTTGTTTTCCAAAGAGCCATTTTTCTAGTTATCTTGGTTGATCGGTATTGAATGTACTTATGTTATACTAAACATCAACTCCAAGCTTGTGGATTTTACTTACATAGTTTTCCTCTCATAACTTGGCACAAGAATGATTCTTAGTGCTGAGTGTTTTCTTTTTCTACTGGTCTCGTCTCAGAGCAATACTGGCCTTTCACCTGGTTTTGTATCTTATTTTAGAAATGGCCTTGTTCTCAGATTTTCTTTTAAATGTTAGTTGGTTCAGTCTTTGCTGCACGTGGCTTTCATGTCTGTGGAAGACAGAAAAAAAGAAGGAAATCAGCATAAATTAAAATAGAAGTGATTTCACATCTACCTAGTGACAAAATTATTGCAAAAGATACTAGAGATCAATGCCAGGCTGCCTCCAACCCTGACTTCTATAAGAATTTGAAGACCAGAGAAACGAAATAACTTGCTAAAGATTACAAAGTATTGATGAGGATATATCTTTCTCATTATTTTCATGAAGATAACATTCTACAGAGTGGTATTTTAACACATAAAACAAGCTATTCACAATATGTAAAACTGCTTACCTTAGTTATCTTAGAGAAGGGGAAATATACTGAAAATTTTTCTAATTTTCTGAGTTTGCAGTGTTGTGGACATCATTATTGTTAATATCATGGTTAAGGCTGTGAACATTAGAGTCAGAAATGTGGATTTGAGTCTGGCTTCCGCCATTTATTAAACTATAACTCTGTGAGGTTAAGCTTCTTAACCTCTCTGAACTGCAGTTTCTTATTCTGGAAAATAAATGTATTTATACATATTAAGATTGAGTTAACTCTGAAGGAATTAACTCTAAGGTTCTTGGCCATTTAGTGCTTGGCACACAATGATTACTTTGTAATGGTAGCCACTAGTACTGCTACTGCTACCGTTACTTATGATAGAACACTGGACACTGACATAGGGTGATCTTTATTACTGAATGATTTAAACATTCATCTGCTTAAAAATTAGATGCTTTCTTTTGCAGTTTTTCAACATACCTTCCAGTTCATTTTATCACTCTGTTACTTTTGCGGAAGCACTTTGGTCATTAGTTCTTACTCTATCAAAATGATATTTAACCCTTGGATACCTCAGTCAGAGCCTGATCCTTACTATAATTGAAATAAAAATTACAGAGCCTCTTGTACATTTTATACTACAGACCTTGCTAATCATTGTAAAATTTAAAAATCCCTATTGCTGCTCATCTGGGAGCATCCTTTGCTCATGTGTATACACACAGTTTCTTGTGATACAGTACCAGAAAGAAACGTCATTTTACTTCTTTAGAATACTATTGCCAGCCTACTTAGAGATGGCACAGTCACAGATTGGAAACTCAGGTTCTTGTAATTGTTGAATTTATCGTTTGGGCCAGACCTGGATTGTTTGACCCATTTTAGGTACTGACAGCCACAGTGACATACATCTGAGTATTTTTCTGTATTTGCAATGTTACTCTTTGTGAGGATGTACTTTTTAGTTTATAACTGAGGAAGCCTGTCATCATCATTAGTACTCATTCATTCAGCATGAGCACCTGTTTTATCTTAGGCACTAGAGATGCAAATATGAATAAAACATGATTCCTGTTCTGGAAAATGTCATAGTTTATTGGGGGAGAAAGATACTTAAATAAATAATTACATTTCAGAATGATATGTTCTATATAATAAACATGAAAATGTGTTGTAATATGCTAGAGGGAGCCATAAATCTGGGGGAATGGTAAGGTTTCAAAGGGGAAGTGACAGTTGAGCCAAGTCGTGAAGGATGAATGGGAATTTTCCATTTGGAGGGAGAGGAGCAGGGGAGGAGGCAATACAGGGTAGCAAAGGGCCTATGCAAAAACCCAAGGGTATGCATGCATAGGGTATGCATGCATGGGGCATGCTAGGAAAGGTGAAGGTCTTCAGAGTGGCTGGAGAAAAGGGTGTGTGAGAAACAACTGAGTTGAAATTAGGAGTTAGAATTTAACTCTTTGGTACTAAGGAATCATTGAAGATTTTACAATTAGAAAAGACATAATCAGATTTGAGTTTGGAAACCTGTAGTTTGGGGCTGGAGGAAAACAGGTGCTAGACCTGTCTTTCTAAGCCAGAGACAAAGGTTTCCACTGACAATAGCTGTGAAGATAGAGCTAAGAGCTGTGAAATTTCAGAGAGTTTTCCAAGGTGTAAACAACTGAATTTTGTGATCAAAATTATATGGCCTATGTGGTCAGTGGGGGAATGTGGTATCTGGCTTGGTTCAGTACGGGGATTAACTGAGATCGCTGGAGGAAATGTAAAAAGAAAGGCAGGATTGTTCATTTTGTCTTTTGTTTTGGGAAACAGGATGAAAATTTTCATTTTGCACAAGGTAGGCTTAGTCTTTTCAGAAACACTCTAGTAGGCAAATCTGGAGCTGATTTTTGGGAGAAAGGCAACCATAGTAATATTTTTGAGTCTCTACTATTTTTTCATTAAAAACTAAGGGTCTCAGAGATTAGCAGATTATGGTTTGAGGAAGGTAGCTATAGAACCAAAATATAAATTCCTAAGCTTCTACCAACTGGGTCTTACTGAAATGGCAATTTGAGAGAAAAATAAATCTCTTAGTTTTCACCATAGTTACTTTACTGTTTCCTTTCCCAGTGTATTTTTACTTTAAAAAAAAAAAAGCACTAATATATATACAAATTCCATCTATTTTCTGCACTAAATTTTCTGATCTTTATATTATTTGACTAAATGACAGACAAATGAAGCATGCTCAGAATCATAGCGAAGGAGCCTCAAACAGCTTGCTTTGTTCTAATAAAACCTTAACATTTAAAGATTAAGTCCTCCATAAATATTTGTTACTTCATACGTGCTTGATCTAATCTCAGCTATTAACTCGGTTTGAATATGAGGGAAATAGTAAGCATTAAAGAATGACAGTTGTGTCCACTTCACTGTAGAAATTTAAGAATAAGGGATGGTTGAGCTATAGTCCTTCTTGGAATCAAGGGAATAAAGTAATTCCTCAAAATCTCTCACCTCCAAATTTCAGGGGCCATTTGCCATTGATTGAAAGACATGTGCAGTCATGAAGGACTTGAGTGGGCTTTGAATAAGGTGAACTGCCATATGTATCTGATGTTCTTTTTTCATGTATTTAAAAAATAAATGAACATACCTAATCTATGTGAAATTCTAGTTTTCACTGTTATTATCTAGATTTTCTTTGTGATTTCTTGGGCAGCTATATCTTTTTCTTTACTTTGTTCTTGATTGCTGTGAAATGTAGTTGCCTGCTGTTTAAGGCAGCTGCAGTAGAGTGCACCCAGAAGTGGTTATGTTTCTATTCTATATTTAGTAAAACCATAGGGTTTGTGAAGCAGTTGCAGATTCCTTCAGGATAAAATGGTTTCTATAAACGTAACCTTTCTTTTCTTTTCCTTTTTTTTTTTTTTTTTTTTGTTGAGACAGGATCTTACTCTGTCACCCAGGCTGGAATGTAGTAGCATGAACATGGCTCATTGTGGCCTCTACCTTCTGTGCTCAAGTGATCCTCCTGCCTCAGCCTCCCAAGTAGCTGGAACTACAGGTGCAGGCCATCATGCCCAGCTATTTTAAAAGATATTTTGTAGAGATAAAATTTTACCATGTTGCCCAGGCTAGTCTTGAACTCCTCAATTCAAGCAATCCTCCCAGGAAGTGCTAGGATTACAGACTGGAACCACTGTGCCTAGCCTAAATTTAACATTTTTAATGAAACTATTATTATTATTACTTATTAGAGAAATATATAGCAGCAAATATGTGGGAGCCTGTGGACAAGACAGAGACACACAAAACTTTTTTTTATTTCTGTTAGAGCTCACTGAGTATTTTAAATACTTAATCATGTGAATTCTATTTTTATTCTCTTAATCTTGAATTGCAGAGCTTTTACTCAAGTGTTTACCTTTGGTCCAACCTTCCGAGCTGAAAATTCTCAGAGCCGGAGGCACCTGGCAGAGTTTTATATGATAGAAGCAGAGATTTCTTTTGTTGACAGCCTTCAAGATCTCATGCAGGTAGGTACACAAGTTTTAAAATATCAGCTATCTGTGACATTAAAATGTTTCTATATATATTTTTACCTCAGACATTTATGTGTTCGTATTCCTAAGGTGAAAAGAATGGAGAACTACTTTATAAACACTTACCGAATTCCTTTACTGTAATAGTTTAAAATACAAGAGTCAGACAGATTTAAGTTTCTATCCCAGCTCTGCCATTAGCTTTGCTGTGAAGTTCCCTGACTTTCATGATCTTTAGGTTCCTCAACTGTAAAATGAGAATAATTGTACTTATTTCTAAGATTATCATGAGGGCTAAATGAAATAGTGTATATAATATAAAGTACATAGTATGGAGTCTGGAACACAAACAGGTTTGCTAAATAGTAGCTCTGATTTGCTGGGAAAATAAACCAAACATCTTCATATAAATGTCTGTAATACTTACATAAACCCCTATGTATCTATATTAGAAAGAATCCACAGGAGCTGTCAGCTCAGTTGAGCAGAGTATAAGGCTGGAGAGATGGTCATGATCAAGGAACAGATCACGAAAGACCTTGTATTTACACGCCATGCTAGAGAGTTTGAACTTTATCTAGAATTTAAGGAGCAAGAGTTATAAGTTTGAAAATGAAGGTCAGGGCTGGGCGTGGTGGCTCACGCCTGTAATCCCAGCACTTTGGGAGGCCGAGACAGGCGGATCATGAGGTCAAGAGATTGAGACCATCCTGGCCAACATGGTGAAACCCCATCTCTACTAAAATACAAAAATTAACTGGGTGTGGTGGCGTGCACCTGTAGTACCAGCTACTTGGGAGGCTGAGGCAGGAGAAATGTTTGAACCCAGGAGGCAGAGGTTGCAGTGAGCCAAGAGATTGTGCCACTGCACTCTAGCCTGGTACCTGGGAATAGAGCGAGATTCTGTCTCAAAAAAAAAAAAAAGGTCAGAGCTATATTTTAGACACATGTTTTTTAGCAGCAGTATGAAGAATGGTTTAGAGGTAAATAAAAATAGAGTGAGAGGCCTTTTTAGGAGGCTGTAGACATAATCCAGACAGTGCACACAAGTGGAATTGGATGGACCAAGATTTGATGCTTAACTCAGCCACTCATGTGCTCTATGACCACCTTAGATAAGGGACTTAATCTCCCTGGGCCTCAGTATCCTCATCAAAATTCCCATACATAGACATAAAAATTCCTACTTTATAGGCTACTTGTGAAGATCAGGCAGATAATATATATAAAGTACCTAGCATAATTTATGGCACTTAATAAATACCCAGAAATTGTTGACTTTTAAATTATGAATTTTCTGTTCAGAAGCATTCTGGTTAATATCTTAGTTTGGATTTGTAATTATGGGATGTTTATTTTAGTTATTTTCATCAACTCTCCTTTTTATTCATTTATATGCTTTCTACTCTTATCCAGCAAATGAACTTTTTCCACTTAAAACATAAATACCATATATATATATCACAAATAGAACAGACTCATTATTTTATTACCCTGTCTTGGGTTGGATTTCCTAGTAAACAAAACTCTAAGGCAGAGAGGTGTGTGGGTAGGGGGATTATTGGGGAGTGCTCTTTTCAATATTCATAAGGAAAGTAAGAAAGTCACATTGAACAGTGGGAAAAGTGAACTGTGATGCATTTGCAAACAGAGGCCTTAGCCTCTTTTGTGAAGAACTTTGAAGTGGTCCTTTATACTTGTCTCATCTGAAGGCAAGGGGGTAGCTCTTTGTGCCTTTCCATATCGAGTAGTAATTGGTCGTGATTAGCCAGTGGAAGGGGCATAACCTTGAGTAAGGCAGCACCTTTGGTTCTAGACAATTCCTGATGAGGCACTCAACTATAAACTGTCAGCAGTTAATAATATTCCTAGTTTCTCACATAGGGCACTTGGCCACATACTATAGCATTCACTTTCATACCCCTTTCACACTTCTCACTGAGCATTTTGGATCAGTCCCCATGGGACATTTTTTATTATTCCTGTTAGGGAATGGGCAGGGAAAAGGGAAAGTGGTCACTACTAACATGTAGTTTGTGAAGGCAGGAGTGCTGTTCAGCAACCTACAGTACACAGTCGCCTTCTCCCCAGTGATTAGCTGCCTCATAATTATCAGTAGTGCTGCTGTTGAACAACCATATGCTGGACTGTAGGGATTCAGGATCTGAGCTTCAGGAGTCATTGTGCATTCCTTAGATAGCTTTCAGTTGAGCCCACTCCTGGATTCTTTATTATTTCACCCAGGCAGTAAGAGTATTAGGAATGGAACCATACTTTTTACCTCACTGTTTCTGCCTTGATGCTGTTTCCACTGCACAAACATAGATACAAAAAGGAAAGGTTGCACAACAATATAAAATAATTTTATTTTATATTGTATTAAACATTAAAAATCTTTGCTCTACAATTATATTTTACCATATGACAGGGTTGCAAGATACTGTTTATTTTTCTCAGTTATATTAGTAAAAACAACGTGTTTTTTACTAATTGTAAAAACATTGTTTTTTACTAATAAGCTACATACCTTTTTAGTAAGTGTGAGCAGAATTCAGTTACAGATTTTTACCTTTGCATTTAGTCAACAATCCCATAAAATTATTTTATTCGGCTCTAAATATTAGAAGTGGAACATTTCAATCCAATCTTAATGTTTGAAATGAGTCACTTCTTTTCTCTCTCCTTCCCTCCTCTTCCTCTTCTCCCCCTCCCTCTCCCCCCATCCTTCCCCTCCCCCTCTTCCTGCTCCTCTCCCACTTCCTCCTCCTCATGCTGGGATTACAGGCATGAGCCACCACACCCAACCTCATTTTCTCTTTTTCTTTCATTTCTTCATGTTGTTTTATCTTTAGATGCCTTGACTGATGGATTTTTAGGCTAGTTTCTTAAGCATTGGTGATTAATATTTAGGAACACACATTTTATTCAGAGCATTACCTGTGCTACCTTTGCTGGTGTTATCACAGATATATTCCAAAATAAGTTGGGGCCTAATCAGAAAGGGTTGGACTACCCCAGAGAGATCAGTTATCCCAGAGAGAACAGTTACTTGTCCAGTGGCTTTAGATGGGTGGGCCTGGGCAAGAAGGTAGCTTCAGTGACATCACTCCCAGAGATTTACATAATAGCTATTGGAAGCAGTTTTTATTTATCCATTTACCAGTTGAAGGACATTTAGTTTATTCTCAGTTTTTGAAAGTAATGAACAAAGTTGCTGTAAATATTTATGTGCAGGTTTTGTATAAATGTAAAGTTTAATTTCTCTCTGTTTTTTTGTTTTTCTGTTTGTTTTTTGAGACAGGGTCTCATTTTGTCACCTAGGCTGGAGTGCAGTGGTGTAATTGTAGCTCACTTCAGCCATGAATTCCTTGGGCTCAAGCAATCCTCCCATCTCAGCCTCCTGAGAAGCTAGGAATATAGGTGCTATTTTTTTAGTTTTCTGTAGAGACAGGATCTCACTATGTTGCCCAGGCTGGTCTCAAGCTCCTGGGTCCAAGTGATCCTCCTGCCTGTCAGCCTCCCAAAGTGTTGGGATTACATGTATAAGCCACAGCCACCCAAACTCATTTGTCTTGGGTAAATTCCTAGGAATGGGATTACTGGGTCAGTGTTTGATGTGATGTTTTATAGTTTTCATTATACAGATCGTTTATGTCCGTGGTTAAAAATCCTCCTGAGTGCAGTTATCTCTTCGTATCCAGAAGGGATTGGTTTCCCGACCCTCCCCACTCCCTGCCACCATGGATACCAAAGTCCATGGTTACTTATGTTCCTTATATAAATTATAAAGTTTCTTTCATTTTATAGGAAAGAAATCTGTTTTCCAAAGTGACTGTTCCATTTTGCATTCCCCCCAGCAATGTACAGAAGTTTTACTTGTTCTAATTCTTCACCAGTACGAAGTGTTGTCAGGCATGTGTGGTGGTTTTAAGCCATTCTAAGAGCTGTGTATTAGTATCTCACTGTGGTTTAAATTTGTATTTCTGTAATGCTTACCTATGTTGAACATCTTTTCATGTACTTCTTAGCCATCTGTATGTCATCTTCTGTGAAATGTTTGTAAGTTTTGCCCATTTTCCATATGGATTGCTTGTTTTTTTCACTGTTGAGTTTAGAGAGTTCCTTGTTGGATATGTGGTTTCTGACTGTGTTCTCCTAGAAAGGAGCTTGGCTTTTCATCCCCTTCATTTTGATGACATCTAGTTTTATCATTTTTTTTCTTTTAGCTTTTCGTGTCAAGTCTAAGAACTCTTTACGAAGCCCTAGATCTTTAGGATTTTATGTTTTATAGCTTTACCTTTACATTTTTCATGTAAGTCTATGATCCATTTTGAGTTAATTTTTGTGTAACCTGAGATACAGAGGTTTTTGTCCTTTCCTTTTCTCACTTCGTCTTCTCTTTCCGCTTTCCTTTCTACCTTTGGATACCTTCTTGCTCCAGCACCATTTGTTGAAAAGGCTGTTAGCTAAACTTCATCTATTGAATTGCTTTTGCATCTTTGTCAAAAATCAGTTGGTCATATATATGTGGATCTATTTCTGAATTCTCTATTCTGTTCCATATTCTACTTAATATTTTACCACTTCAGGTAAACCAACAGTCTTACTACTATGTTTTTCCCTTTACCTCACCCCTTTATCTTACAGTTGCCATATGTATTACATTCATGTATTAATTTCCTATTGCTGCTGTAACACTTCACCACAAGCCTGATGGCTTAAAACAACTCAGATTTATTGTATACTTTTGGAGGTCAGAAGTCCAAAGTAGATTTTACTGGTCTAAAATCCAACACTGCTAAAAGGTGTCAGCAGAGTTGCATTTCTCTTGGAGGATTTAGGGGAGAATTAGTTCTCTTAAATCTCCCTTACCTCTTGCATTTTCTAGAGACTACCTGCATTGTTTAAAAATCAGCACGATATCTTCAAATCTTTCTCTCACCCTCCTACCTCCCTCTTTCACGTGAAGAACCATTGTGATTACATTAGTCCCA